ATTGCTATTCATAAAGTTTTCAGTAGCTACTCAAAACTAGCCTGCCTCTCCTTCTTCCTAGTCTGTCTTAGTGGGGAAGCTCAGCTGAAACTTGTCCACCATGGATGACTCTGCGGGTGTTTAAAATACTGATAGCATATCTTCTAGCCTTCCAGAAATACAAAAACCACCACAGGAGCACAAACTGAAAAGACGAATGGTGGGTGGGAATTAGTAACATTTAACTATGCCCCATCCTGGCAGTGGTACCTTAGTTCAAATAATCCTAAGGAATTTTCATGTTGGGGGAAACACGAAATCACTTAGCGGCCCTTCAATTTGAAGATCAGAAAACTGAGGGTCAAAGAAATTAAGTAATTTTACCTAAAGAGATTTATATGTAGAAGAAAATGAGAACATAGGTCTCCATATGGAGTCTAAGTCAAGCAAACACTCTCTTACTTGTTCTTTCTGTACACTTGTTCTTTCTGTACACTACTTAATTTAACCAAACCAAACCCAGTGCCACTGAGATTTATGGTGATATCAATTATTAACCTAAAGGTTGGTGTTCTGAACCTACCTAGTTGAATGGCATAAGAAATACCTGGAGATCTGCTTCCATTGAGTTTATAACCAAGAAAATTCCATGGAACAATCAGACTGTAACATATGGGGTCAGAGTAAGTCTGTCCTTCTTTTATTACTGTCTCATAAATATTCAGAGAACAAGAATTACAAGATTCTTTCTTATAACTATTTGATGGTAATATATGATTTTGTTGTTATTTTATACATATTGCCACAAAATAATTATTTTAAAACAATAATCTTTTATGATGGCTATTGTAATGTGTTATCTTAGCTAAACTATGGTTCTCAGTAATTTGGAAGGCTATATGTAATCATCACCTTACATTTGTGATCTGATGTGAACAGCCAGCCATCTGAAAGGGGGAGTTTTCCTTGGAGGTGTGGCCTCTCTCCAGTATGTAAATGAATGTTCTGGGAAAGTACTTTCTCACTGTCTCTGTCTCTCTCTTTCTTAATTCTGTATTCTCATTACCTGACCTCTAACAGTAGACCAATAAATATCAAGAAAAATGGAGAAAAGATTGAAATTGTCAAAGACTTCACTTTGCTCGGACCAACCATCAACACTCATGGAAGCATTAGTCAAGAAATCAAACAACGTACTGTATTAGGCAAATCTGCTGCACAAGAGTTCTTTAAAGTGTTCAAGAGAGATGTCAGTTTGAGGATTAAGTTATGTATGCCTGACCCAAGCCATGGTATTTTTAATAACCTTATATGCATGTGACTGTTAGATAATGAATATAGAAGATCACAGAAGAATTGATATATTTGAGTTATGGTGTTGGAGGAGAAAATTAAAAGTACTGTGGACTGCCAGAAGAACAAACAAATCTGTCTGAATTACAGCCAGAGTACTCCTTAATAGCCAGTATGGCCAGACTTCGTCTCTCACACTTTAGACATATCATCAGAAGGGACCAGTCCCGGGAGAAGGACAGCATACTTGGTCAAGTGGAGGGTCAGGGAAGAAGAGGAAGACCCCCATTGAGATGGACTGTCACAGAAGCAGCAGCAATGGGCTAAAGCATAGCAACGATGTGATGTTGGCTAGGTAGTGTCTTGTTCTATTGTGAATAAGGTTGCTATGAATTGGTACCAACTCAACAAGCACCTAACAATAACAATGTCTGCAGAAGTCTTCAGCCTGCTACCTGACCTGTAGATTTTTGATTTGCCAGTACAGTCCCTCCCGGCAACTCTGAGCCAGCTGAAACTTCCATTCTGCTACCTGACCTGCATACTGTGGGTTCATCAGCCAGTGAGCCAGCAGATATCTTCAGCCTCCTACCTGACCCACTGATTTGAGACTTGCTAATCTCCACAATTGTGTAAGCAATTTCTTCACAATTATGGGAGCCATTTCCTTCAAGTAAATCTCTATATATTTACATATATACCTCATTGGTTTTGCCTCCATAGAGAACACAGACTAAAACTCCTTCTAACAATACAGTTCCCTAAGAAAGAAGACTCCAAATTCATACGTGCTTTCTAAATAGTCTGAGAAGGAAGGAAATACTCAGTTCTACAGGGAATTACCTTTTTTTTTTAAAGTGTTTTATTGTGAATTATATGATAGTTTACATGGGAAAACATTACTTTTACATTCATTCTATCGTACACTGTATCATTGCCATGGTTACAATCCCCTCCATGCATCATCAACCGACCAAAGGGTATACCCTGCAAGCCTACCCCCTACACTTACTCCCACCCCCAGTCTTCAGCACAGGGAATTATCTTTTAATTCTATTTCCACAGATTTTTGAAGCCCTCCCTGCATAATTATAAATAGCATATGGTAATTGTATCTAGAACAGAGACAATGCTTTGAAGATGGTTCTAAGGGAAAAAATGAGACTGTAATTTTTCATAGTCCTTTCTAAATCTTAGATAATTGAAAATGAAGTTCACCAGTGAATTCTATCAGACTCATGTTACAGAACACATTTTAACAATTACACTGAAAAAAAACAAAACAGAAGAGAATTTTTGTAATACCTGCTTGATTTGACTGTTGCCAACTTGGTGGTTTGGAAACATTCGTAGAAGTCGGAGGCTTGAAGGCAGCAGCAGTTGTGAGGCTGGCCACTGCTGGCCTGGCTGAGGCTGGACTTGCCAGACTCTCAGGCATGCTCTGTGAAATCAATTGCTGAGAAGGCTCCTGGAAGTTGCTGAAAGGACATATGGAAACATTATAAATTAGCAATGATCCTCCCCCGACACACACCCACAACCCATCATATCTTTTAATAAAACAAAAAATTAGTTAATGTGCTCCTCCTATTCTGTACCTTATCTTAACAAGACAGAAGAGTCACCTAGTTACAACAATCAGTTATTAGAAAATCCCTGATAACATCTCTGAAATGGCATATTTCTCATTTCCACATTCTTCTAGTATTTTAGAAAATAAGGTTTTCTGACATCTCATCAGATATACTTTCTGACTCACATATTCAGTCACTCAAACTCAGCAGTTCAAACCCACCAGGCACTCCTTGGAAACTCTATACAGGATCCCTATGAGTTAGAACTACTCAATGGCACTTAACAATAACAGCATTCACTCACTCATTCATTCCATAAATATTTAAGCACTTACAGACACTCTGATATGTACTGGCCATACAATAGCAAAGTAAAAGACATCTCTGCCCTAATGGAGTCCACTGTCTTCACCCAAACAGGGGCATTTACTTAACAATAGGCTTCATCTGTTTTGGTTAAAGTTTGGTTCAAAAGATCATATGTCCTATTTTACCAGTATATGGTATTTATAATTAATTGCACATACATCATTTCTAAAAAACATTAATTTAAGGGGGCTTAACTGATAAAAGATTCATTTTGTAATGAGACAATAACAGTGGTTTCTTTTAATTGATGTATAATAATAATACTTCTTACTACTTAACTTTTCAATAAAAATTGTGGGAGTGGTTGCTTACATAATCAATAATCCCATATGTTGTTTGTTGTTGTTGTTTTGTGCCATCGAGTTGGTTCCAACTCATAATAACCATGTACAGGTGGATTTGAACCACCGACCTTGCAGGTCAAACTAACCTTGCAGTCAGTTCATCCAGTGCTTATCCTACTGTACCACACCAGCATTCAAAATAATTTCATATAGAGAAATTCAATTCCTTCAATAACTTAAGTCTACAGTTATGAGAATAAACTTATAAAATAGAGTACTAAATTAATGACTTCAGCAAAATAATCACCCTTATTTATACTGTTTTGGTAAAATTATTTCACTGGAAAGAAATTCTAAATTCAATCATGTCCACTATATTACTAGGTGAACAAGATCACCTAATTTCTCCAAAGCGTCTTGAATCTCTGACAACATCTGACATAACCTGCCTCAACTGCCAATCCTCAAAAAGATCTGCTTGAAAAGTTGGTGCTTGACTGGCATCCAGCTGATTACGTGGCTGATAAACTTATTCCTGTGGCCCTGTGGGTTAAATGTGCTGGACTACAAAATAGGATTGAACCATAAGGTTGGCAGTTCAAGCTCACCAGCCACTCTTTGGAAATCCTATATAGGTCACTAGGGGCCAGAACCAACTTGACACTTAACAACAACAAAGTGGTCAGTTGGTCCTACTATGGTGGCTTGCCAATGAACACCTTACAAATCACAACAGCATACTATCTGATATGGTGCTGGAAGACAAGTCCCAGAGGTTGGAAGGGAAGTTACAATCTGCAACAATGGACTCAGAACGGAACCACATTTTGTCCTGTTAGACATAACAGTGCCAAGTACTGAAGTCCACTCAACGTCAACTAACAACAGGGATACAGAACTTCTCTAAATAACAGAAGTGGTTCACTATGCCTAAATGGTTCCTGTACACAATGCAGGTTATTTTTAATGCCTCCTTTCATTCTCAGAGTCTATAATTTTGGTACATACTTGGCAAATGGTATCTGTGTGACCAGCCTCTAATAAAAACATCGATAACTAAGTGTGTAATGAGCTTCCGTGGAAGAAAACACACTTCACACATTTTGCCATAATTCATTGCTGGAGGAATTAAGCATATCCTCTGTAGTTCAACTGAACAAAAACTCTTGTAAATGTTCACCTAGTTTCTTCCGGACATCATACCACACATGCTGACTTTACTTTGCATTCTTTTATTACAATAAATCTAGTCATGAGTATAACTATGTGCTGAGTCTTCTGAGTTGATCTTATAAATCATCAAACCTGGATTTGGTCTTGGGGTACCTAAGATACTCAACAGTTAAAAAAAATCATACTAAGGTTATTTTAACTTTCTGGAAATATTGTTCCCTATTCTTGTCTCCTCAAATCTAAATGTAATAGAACCATCACCTTCTATTATTGCTTCTGATCAACTTACCGAAGAATTCAAACCTGCTTCAATTAAAATATACCATGTAACAAAAGATAAAGCACTTTAATAATTTTATCATAAATAAAAAGTGGCAGATTGCTTATTTAATGGCAATACTGAATGTAATTATCAGTAAAGACACAAAAAGTATAATTGGGAACTAACTATTCAATCATTATAGTATAGTGGTTCCAAGCAGTTTTTAAGTTTTGAGATGGACAAATTATTTGAATTCTCTAAGCCTCAGTTACTTCAATTTTTAAAGGGATATTTTTCAGGAGAGCATGAGCAGCAAAAGACAAAATAAATGGGACATCACAAAAATAAAATAAAACCTTTGCTGATTGAGCGACTTATCAACAAAGTGAAGAGACAAGAGACACCTACATACTGGGAGAAATTTTGGGGAAAACATGTATCTTCCAAGGGTTTAATATCCAGAATACATAAAGAACTTCTGTAACTTACTAACAAAATACAAACAACCCAATCCATACATGAGCCAAAGACTTAAACACCCATTTCACCAAACTCATTGCCACTGAGTTGATTCCAACTCACAGCAACCCTACAGGACAGAGTAAACTGCTCTATAGGGTTTCCAGAGCTGTCAATCTTCACAGAAAAACAGACTTTTTCCCATGGAGCAGCTGGTGGCTTGGGACTGCTGATCTTTGTAGTTAGCATTCTGAAACCACGATTATAGCTTCTTTCATTAGCCAGTCTTGCCCAATGCCATCAAGTCAATTTCAGCTCAAAGAAGATGCAAGTTAAAAGCATAATGAGATACTATTTTACCCCCTCTAGAATGGCCATGGGTAGTGGTTACGAGTCAGACTGTTAACATCAAGGTCAGCAGTTTAAAACTACCAGTTGTTCTGTGGGAGAAAGATGAGGCTTTCTGCTCCCGTAAAGATTTACAGCCTCGGAAACCCTATGCAGGGTTGCTATGAGTCAGAACCAACTCCACGGCACATAACCACCACCATCAGAATGGTCACGGAGTTCTGGTGTGGCATTGTGGGTTAATGTGCTGCACTGCAAAGTTGGTTTGAACTGCAAGGTGGTCAGTTCAAGCTCACCAGCTGCTCCTCAGAAAACCTATACAGGGTCATTACAGGTCAGAACTGCCTCAACGGCACTTAAGAAGAATGGCAATGATCAAAATAACAAGTGTTTGTGAGGATGTGGAGTACCTGGAACCCTTGTACATTACTGATGGAAAAGCAAAATGGCACAGCCTTTGTGGAAAACAATTGGAATGTTCCTCAAAAATGCTGAGGAACCCAAAAAAAATCTCAATGCTGGGTATATCTGCAAAATAATAACCAGCAGGAATATTTAAGAGAGGGTGCAACTGAGGATTCTAGATTCATGGGAAGAAAGGGACTAAGAGCTGGCGGCCAGGAGGCAGACTTGTAGAAGGTGCCTTTTGGTGGTGTAAATTATTATATATGCCTGAGTGTTAAAAAAAAAAAAAAAAAAAAAA